TCAAGGTAGCTGGGTTACTCATTAACATAGTTCATCACAATCTGGTAAGACCGTCACCTTACCCATTACTATCTCGCTCATTCTCTCATCTAGAATGTTATGCAAGAGCTTATTAATATTTTAGTGTTTTATGCCCTTAAGGTAGTTAATACTCATCTCTACGTACTTTGTATATAATTATTACTAGCCTAACACCCGACTCGGGATTAGTTAATCATTAACAACTCTCTAGTCACTCTCATCATATCTTCTCCCAATTCACCCTTGAATTCAAGGGATGACTTGTACATCATCGTAATATACAAGTAACTCAGGTTTCCTCATTGTTTCTCGAGTATCAAACAAATGTATAAGCCTTATGGAATATTACTTCATGAGGTTCTCATTATTATCACATGATTTATTCAATGTTTTCACTTATAAGCTTTATTGATTATCTTACACCATTTGCTTGAGTCTTCAACTCAAAATTAAGCTTTTGTCCAAATTAGTACGCTTGTACTGACACTGAACCCTTCAATATCGGTACATGTCTCTTATTATCAGTCCCACCCTTGCTACCAATACCAAATCTGGCTATTAGAATTTAAGAGAGCCTTACAATATCAATACCCTTATGTGGAGTATTGGTACTTCTTCTTTAATCAGTATCGATACTCACTGAGTACAAATACCAATTCTGACTACTGAAATTTATAACTCAATGATGGTATTGGTATCTCACCCTTTGGTATTGATACCCAATGAATAGTATTGACACTCTATGACTACAGTACTGGTATTACCCAACCAAAAACCCTGATATTGATCCTTTATATTATTCTTATCAAGTCTTCATGAGCACACTCTTGTTATAGAGCTAAATGTCTCATATCCTTATTAAACTCGAATGTAAATCAAACTCTTACTTGTATGGGTTATTTCATTAGCTTAGACCCATAAGGGCAATTTGGTAATTTTAACCCCCAATGGCATTTAGTAATCTCCCACACTTGAGCTAAATGCTTGATCTCAATCGATATTAAACTCCTTGCTCTCGCATTTATTTGGCATCTTGAAGTTACTCAATCACTTTAGGTATTGATACTAAGCCTTCGGTATGGATACCCAATCTTCGGTATGAATATTTGTTTATCCGGTATGGATATCGGACCTCCGATATGGATATCATTTTATCCGGTATGGATACCAGCCCACCAATATCGATACTAAGCATCTGATATCGATACTAAGCTTCCAATATCGATACTACAACCTTGTCTATCGATACTAAGGGACCAATATCGATATCAGTTAATCTATTATTGATACCTACACCCAAAATTATTACCCAGAAACACACTATTTTGGTTGAGAATCACACTCAAACTCATCCCAAACACTTGTGTTAAGGTATAAGTTGATTATTAAAGCTTATGAAAGTCATTAGGGATCATCATACATCATTTTACACCAAACTAACACCAAAAATGTCCATAACAACAAATCAAGAACCCAAGCCCTCATATGCTCTTCTACCCCATACAAGCAAGCAAGCTCATGTAGATGACATACAAGTAGTAAGGAAGAGTTATAGTATGTTACATCAGCTCCTAGCAACCCAAAAATATCTCTAGCTTACCCAATATCCAACCTTTACTTGATCTAGTTATTTGGGGGTTCTTGCACCACTCTTCCATCACCCAAAAACCACCAAAGATTTCCAACATGAAAAGGATGATTAAAAGTTGTTAAACAACAACAACTTTTAGGATAAACAAAATAGAAATCATGAAATGAGCCTTTTAGGTTCAAACCCTAAAAAAACCCATTAAAGATTAAGAATACCCTTGAAGAAGATGGTGCGCTCTCCATAAAGCTAAGGATATCAAGATTATAAATCTTACCTCTAATTTTTAGATTAAAGAAGGATATGGAGAAAGGTTGAAGCTTTTCTCTTGTTCATCCTTAAATGAAGAGAAATAGAATAATAAAGAATGAGAAAGAAAAAGAAAAGAAAGCCACTTGGCCCTTCCAAAACTCCACGTCCAAATTTAGGAAAGAATCCCCACGAATCAATTATTCTTTTCCCAAATGGATAAATCACACTCTAGGTTCTCATGAATTCTTTCTAAGCATAAAAAAATCCCCTTTTTATCTTCTACAAGGCTAATTTCATACTCGATTAAACTCAATTTCGAACGAATGAAACTCCATGCTATAATAAATCTATTAAATAAATTCTTGGGTCAACATGAAACTACTAAACCGATATTTGGGGCATTACATGGTTAATGATTCTTAATTATTAAATGCTTCATTAGGTTAAAAATTTTCAGTATTTCACTGTGTTGAACCCCTATAAATACCTTGTAAAACTACTAGGTTAAAACATAACTAAAAAACAAACTCAAAAAGGAATTCTTTTATTTTCCTTTAGTTTACAATGATAGAAAAAGGCAATGGTATATTTTGTGATCTCTTCAATTGTGCTACTGTAAGCTCATCATTTAGTTGTTGTATCATATGAGGCAGACGACCAACAATCTAAAGCATCACGGAGCGATAAAAAATTTATCTTAAGAAAACTATGTAGATGCAAGCCTCAACTCGATTCCAATAGTGTATTTATTTCTATATTGTTTTTGATCATTTAACAATATTTCTTATTTTATTGTCTCTAATTGTTATATTTCTAATGGCTACTTAATCAAGTTAAGTACTTTAGATATTTTGATAAAATGATATTTAAATTATATTATGATTGAAACTAATTATATATTAATTATAACATAAATTATTTATTATTATAGCATGGATCATGTAACCTCAGTAGTTAAAGAAATGATTGTTATTTTTAGAGGTCTCAGGTTCGAGAACCAGAGGTTGTAGGGTATTTGAGCTTTTATTGTCAAATGATTGAGAGTCTTTAGAATAGAAACTATCACTTGTAAAAACCCTAGATTAATAAAAAATTATATACTATTATAAAAACATTAATTGCTTATTTTATAAAAATAAAAATTAATGAAGAAGATTAAAAATAATAAAAATATATTTTATAATTTGCGTTAGAAGAAATTTTTTTATAATTTATATTATAATTATTATATTTTACTCAAATATATAATGGGAATATATTTATAATATAAAATAAGGAAAAAGAAAAAAGTAACAATATATTTTATGATTTATGTCATAGACAACTAATATTTTTTAAAATATATATATAAATAAATTTTATAAAATTAATATACTTTAAATAATATTATGATTCATATATTTTTATAAAATAAATATAATTAATTTTAATTACGGTATAATCTAAATATTGTTTTGTCAAGAATATTGTAAATTCTTAACTTGGCGTTAGACCTCATCCAATATTGTTATATTTTATTAAAGAAAATAATATGTGGATGTCAATTCAATTACTAATATAGTTTACTTTAAAACAAAAATTATTAAATATATTAAAAATTATTAAAATATGATATAATTTTAGAATAAAATATAATTTCGAAAAATTCATTTTAAACATTCGAGATTTTTATATTTTCATATGGTTATGATTTTTAAAATTTGTAACACGCTACACTTTTTGATTGAATTGCATTATTTTTAAATAGAAATCGTCCATAGAATAAAATAATAATTAGAACAATAATACAAACGTCAATTAATATAATGACTAGTTAGAAGAATTATTAATAAAATATCATAACCAGGAGTGAAGATTTGGCATCAAGGAATTCATTGCAGATAATGGTCTCTCACTTTCTAGAACTTGACAGTTTCGCTATCATCTTACCTGACTATCATTTATTTAGTGGTAAAGAAAATACAAATATTTTTTTTGAAGCGGACGAAGCTGCCTTAAATTGATTTCAATTTAAAATATGCGTTCTAGAATCAATCTCTAATTTCTTCTTAAAATATTGTAAACAAGAAAATGAAGATCCTAGGGATTTAGGATTTCCATTAAGCTGCGTTTGGTTCACGAAATGTAAAATTATCAGTGGGAAAAAAAATTATCAGAGAATAGGATTACTGTGAATGTTGTATTTTGTGTTTGGTTGGTTTAGAAGAAATGTAAAATTACCGTGTTTAGTTAAAGGAATAAAAGATTATTATAATATATATTTGACCAAATTGTCCTTATTATATATTTATTTTTTAACAAGTTGAAAAATATTTATATATTTTCTTAAAAAAATTAAATTCATAAAATTTATATAATTTTTTACAAAATTGAAAAATATAAAAAGGTTTAATGAAAGGGTAAAATTTTATTTTAACCTCTGAACTTCATATAAAATTGTAATTATAGATTTGTTTTTTTGTAAATTTAAAATAGTTTAAGGATAAATTTGTAATTTAACCTTCGTAGAATTTTTATTATCTAATGACAAAATAAGGATGTTTTTTTAAAGAATTTTTTTAAGGGCATTTTAGTCCAAAATGCTGGTAATCCAACAATACCTAAAGAAAGGGAGGTAATGACATTCCCGCTAATATACCCAAAAAAATCCACTATTGGTAATGTAAGATTACCGGGAATGACATTCTCGGTCAACCAAACGGAAAAAATATGGATTTCATTCCAATAAAAATCTCACATTCCCCAAACCAAATTCACCTTATTGTAAACCAAGCTGCCTTGGTGGAAAAATAAGATTGTATTCATAATTTGGGTAAAACTATTATAATAATCCCTACACTATATTTTAGATTATATTTGGGTTATCTTCTTAAAAATAATAAATCAATCCGTGTACATTTTGAAAAGAGCGAAATGGTCCATCAGTTAAAAATTCTATCTAATTCTATTTTACTGTTCTTTTGTTGACATGAAATTTATTAAAAAATATTTTTTAATCCTTTATATTATAGTTTTTATAAATTCAATTTTTAATCCACTATTAAAAGCTTAACCTCCATCAATTAGTATTTTTGTAAAAAATAATTAAAGATAAAGGGCTATTATTAAAATAATTGTTTTTTTTCAATTAACTCTGGTCATGGAACTGCTATGGGCGCGCGATAGGTGGTCTAATGGGCTCCCGGTTTTGCTCCGTCGGTGCTGATTGTTGTTCCTTTTTTACTGCTTTTGGGTGTTATTGGTTTGCTTCTTTTCAATTTTATGGAATCTTTGTCTTCTGAGCTTGATTAGCGGAAGCTCTTCCGTGGAACTAAGGAACAATCCCTAGAATTTTTCTCACCTAAAATTCTTGAGGGGTTTCTACTGTCGTTCCTCCTCCTGGCGTCATTGATGAGGGGATTGTTGAATGGGACCGTTCGGTGGTGGGGCAGTTTATTGGCGATGCTCCTAACTTTGGTTCCATGCAAAGAATATCAGAGATCTTATGGGGGAAATCATTGAAGGTTAAGGTCAGTCTAGCTGGGAATAATCTTTATGTCTTTTCTTTTTCTAATGCAAACTTTCGAGACTGGGTGCTCGAGAATGGCCCGTGGCACATTCAAAATAAGCCCCTTGTGCTTAGGATATTGGAACCTAACTTGAAGAAATTAGATTTCGATCTTAAGTGAATGCCTATCTGGATTTAGCTTTACAATGTTCCTTTAGAACTGTTTTCTAGATTGGGTCTCAGTTATATTGCTAGTGCTGTGGGAATTTCATTGTACATGGATTCTGTTACTGCCTCCAAGGAAAGACTTGAATTCGCCAAAGTTTGTGTTGAGGTGGAAGCTGGGGCAGTTATCCCTGAGGTGATTCATGGTGCTCTTAGGGATAATTCTTTAGTGAAAGTTTGGTTCTATGTCCCATGGCTTCCTAAGTTTTGTGTGCAGTGTAAAACTTTTGGGCATCTTGCTAGTAATTGTGTTGAAGTGCAGAAACGACTCCCTAAGAGCAAGGAAGCTCAAGTTTGGAGGAAGAAAGTGAGCCTCAATAACCATGGTTCTTCTGATAAGGAGGGGTTGATTGGTTCTTCCTGCTCCATTATGCAGGAGACCAACCCTAGTGGAAAAGTATTAGGGGTTACATTTGGAACTGCTGAGGTGACTTCTGTTCATGCTCTTCAGGAAATTAATGTTGGACCTTTACAAGAAGCTAAAGAAGCTGCTACTGATCAAGTTCAAGGTTCTGGGAAATATATGGAGGGTACTAAGATTTTACCTGTTTGCCCTTCTCAAGACATTGCTAAAGACACTCTGCAAGGAGGATTGGTTGATGTTCAAGTTCCTGTGTTAGGCGATTTTGATGCCACTGCTGGGTCTTCTAAGCAAAACATCTCCTCGGATCAGTTAGGGGATGCTGGTTTGAACTTACCTAAAGGAATTGGGGCAAATCTTAGTTGTGGTGGTGATTTTCCATCTCTGCAGGATTTTTTGATCTCAAAGAAGAAGGCTAGGGGAAAGAAAAAAAGATAATATTGGTTCATCCAGTAAAATGGAGACTTTGGCTGCAGGTGGTGTTATTGAGGGTCCTAGGAAGGCTCGGGTAGCTTCTCTTGGGGTTGCCATGCTTCTTAATGAAATTAAAGCTAAAAAAAGGATCATTTGGATAAGGTTAAAGGTCCATGGGTCAATGTTGAAGCTAGTAGGGGTGAACTTCCTATTTCTAATTGATGATCTTCAGTTTTTGGAATGTAAGGGGGATTAATAATTCCCTCAATCTATGCAAAGTAATGAAGAGATTGGAAATGCTAAGAGCTGATGTGGTTTGTTTTATGGAGACCAGAGTTAGGAATGCTAATTTTTCTAAGGTTGTTACTCCTTTGTCTACTGACTGGAATTTAGCTGCAAACTATGACTACACTGATGGGGCAGGCTTTGGGTGCTTTGGAAAAAAAGACCTCCATTTTTCTGTCTTATTTGGTTGTGACCAATCTCTATCTATTGTAGGTGATGTGGCTGGCCACAGGTTGGTTATCACTACAGTATATGGCAACAATAATAATCTGGCTAGGAGGGGCCTGTGGGGGCATTTGAAGCTTCTTGAAACTGCAGTTGGATCTTCTGCTTGGATAATTGGGGGCGACTTCAACATTATTGCAAATGCTCAAGAGAGCTCTGACTTTGTGACTATGGGCTTACATAGTAAATCTGATATGGACGAGTTCAAGGATTGTTTGGTGGATTTCAAATTACAAGATCACCCTTTTATTGGTCCACTCTTCACTTGGTCTAACAAGCAGGATGGTTCCTACTTGGCTCGGAAGTTAGACAGGATTCTAACTAATTCTCACTGGCTATTGGAATTCCCTAACTCAGCTGTGGAATTCCAAGCGTAGAGGGTCTTTGACCACTGCCCTGGAATAGTCTGGACCCAGAAGAATGCTCAGGTTCACAGGCCTAAGCCTTTTAAATTTTTCAACTGTTGGACTACTAATGAATGCTTTATGGGGGTTGTTAAAGAGTCTTGGCTGCAGTAGTGTACTGGCAATGCTATGCAAATTCTTCTCAATAAAATGAAAAGATTAAAACCTCTGCTAAGGGAGTTCAATAGAAGCCACTTCTCAGATATTTCTGCTAGACTTGCTAGGAAGAGAGTATAATTGGAATATGTTCAGATCCATAATCTTGTTCATGGTGATCAAAGGAGGCTTGATGAGGAAAAGATGATTCAGGCTGATTTAATTGCCTTAGAAGCTGTTGAAGCTGATTTTTATAAGTAAAAAGCAAATGCTCACTGGCTGCAATAGGGAGATTTGAACACCAGATTTTTTCACCAAAGAGTTGAATCTAATAAGAAGAGAAATACCATCAGAATCATTAAAGATGACAATGGGGTATACCATGAATCCTTTGATGACATGGCTGCTGAATTGGTGAAATTCTTCAAGAACCTTATTGGTATTGCTGATCCCCTGGTTAGGGGCTGTTCTGTTGAATATTTGAAGCCTTTGCTGAATTTTTCTCTACCTGAAGGAGCTGCTGATTTTCTTGATACTGAGGTCATTGATAAAGAGATCAAAGAAGCACTTTTTAGACAAGGAAAGGACAAAAGTCCTAGACCAGATGGCTTTACTTCCTGGTTTTTCAAGGCAACTTGGGAAATTGTTAGTAAGGATTTCCTTGATGCTATAAGGTATTTTTTTCCAAACTGCTTCTCTTATGCCTGCCTTTAATGCTACCATCATTGTTTTGGTGCCAAAAGCCTTGAATGCTTATATGGCTAAGGATTTTAAGCCTATCTCCTACTGTTCAGTGATCTACAAGACAATCACTAGTATTCTGGCTACTAGGGTAGCTGCTTATTTCCCAAGTATGACCTCCCTTAATCAATTTGCATTTGTTAAAGGAAGGAACATTGCTGATAATACCTTGCTTTCCCAGGAGATTGTTAGGGGGTACTCTAGGAAAAATATGTCTCCTAGATGCTCTATTAAAATAGATTTGCAAAAACCTTTTGATTCAATTTGTTGGGACTTTTTGTTGGTTGCCCTTAAAGCTTTGGGGTTGCCTGCCATTTTTTGTGGTTGGATTAAGGCTTCTGTCACCACACCTAGATATTCTATTGCTTTAAATGGTAGTTTGGTGGGATACTTTGAAGGTACTAGAGGGGTTAGACAAGGGGACCCTTTGTCCCCCTATCTCTTTGTAATTGTGATGAATGTCCTCTCCTTGTTGTTGAATGTGGCTGCTAGTAACGGTATCTTTAGATTTCACCCAAAGTGCAAGAAAATCTCTCTCACACACTTATGCTTTGCCGATGATCTACTTTTGTTTTGCCATGGCTCACTGGATTCACTATTAGGGGTGGTTAGCATTTTAGAGAAATTTTATGAACTCTCAGGCTTAAGGTTAAATGCTATGAAATCTGAACTCTTTACTTGTGGAGTTTCTGGGAGTCTGCTGGATCAGATACAGGAGTCCACTGGTTTTAAAATTGGGCAGCTTCCAATTAGGTATCTGGGAGTGCCGTTGGTTACTCTGAAGCTTACGAGTAAAGATTGCTCGGCTCTCCTTGTGAAAATAAAGAATAGGATCGACTAATAGTCGAGCAGAAATCTTAGTTTTGGTGGGAGGTTGTAGCTGATCAAATCTGTTCAGTTCAGCATCTTTGGTTATTGGAGCAGACAGATTATCCTGCCTAAGGGGGTAGTTGGTGATATTGAAAAGCTTTGCATGCGCTTTTTCTGGAAGGGCTGTGATAATTCAGCTCGGGGTGCCAGGGTGAGATGGAGCCAGATTTTCTCCTTGAAGTCCGAGGGTGGTTTGGGACTAAGGAAGCTAATCGATTGGTGTAAGGCTTGCTGCCTGATGCTTGTGAAGAACATTTTGGCTAGTGAGGGATCCCTGTGGATTGCTTGGCTTAAAGACTACTGCTTCAAATCTGCAGACTATTGGAACGTTGACAGAAAACCACATTTTAGTTGGATCCTCAACAAGTTGATTAAGCTTAGAGAGGAGGCCAGGAGATTGCTCATTCCAGTTCCTAATTGTTCACAGATTAAAGGTGGTTGGATTTGGGATAGAATTTGAGACAGGAGGGATAAGGTTGGATGGCATAGGCTCCTATGGTTTCCATCTCATATCCCAAAATTCTCCATTATTGCTTGGATGGTGATTCTCGATAGATTGCCAACAAAAGACAGGTTAACAAAGTTTGGCATCGTTACTGTTAATGTCTGTGGTCTATGTGGTGTTCATGAGGAATCTCGAAACCATTTGTTCTTGGAATGTTCATTTGAAAGAGTGATATGGGAAGACATTCTGCACGCTTGTGGTCTGCATTTATAGACGCTAACTTGCTGGGATGAGGCCTTGCACTGGTTGGTTTTGAATCTGAAGGGTAAATCCCTTATTGTTCATATTCTTAAGCTCGTGTGGACCGGTTTTGTTTATTTTCTTTGGGAAGAACGTAATCACAGACATTTTCGAGGTGTGATTCGTTCTGCTGATACGATTGTAAGTAGCATTAAAGAGGTTGTTAGAATTAAACTATATAGATGTCATATAAATTGGATGGATGATGTTAATAGGAGGTTGAGTCTAGAATGGGGATTAATATAGGCTGTTTGTTTGTTCTTTGTAGCAGCTTGCTGCTTCTTTTTGGATGAATAAAATTCTACTTATCCAAAAAAAAAAAATTGTTTTTATCTTTTTGAAATGTACATTGATTAATTTACCATTTTTCAGTAAAAAAATTAAAATATAATATGAAATATGATACAAGAATTACTACATTACTTTTGGCCTAGCATGTAACAAGAAAATTCCATTTCCAAATATTTCATACAACTCATGCTCATGCTTATTGTTCCTCGCATGAACTATACACTTGTACAGGAGCACCAAAACAGATAATCTTTACAACAACAAAAATGAAATAACTTAGAAATCATGAGATGATTGACTGATTATTTCCCAAATCCATTTGAATTGAAGGCTAATCTTCCCAAAATACCTTGTTTGTAAGGCAAGAAAGTTTTCTTCTTCATGTTGTCAGATATTGCTTTGTTCGTTGTGTAATGCAGCTCATGAGCCGACACTTTTCTTCTAGACCCACCTGAATTCTTCTTTTCTTCAGGTTTCTTCACAAAACTCGACGAATACTTCCTTAATGAATCCTTATCACTTGCACGTCCCTCCGATGCGCTTCGGAACAACAGCAAATCTCTTAATCTCCATTTTCTTGAACACCCCTTTGAGGAAGTTGAAGAAAACAATGGCTTTGAATTCAATGATGATGATGATTGCTTGGTGCTGGTGGGTTCACGTTGCTGTTTTCTCTCTTCTTCTTCATCGTCTTCTTCCCATCGGTTGTCCGAGACTCTGTAAGGAGAAAGCGATCTCGTTGCTCGACGGCTCGAGTTCCTTGATGTGGAATCTTGAACCCTTTCTCTACCTCTTCCGTGCTCTCGATTGTTCCGACTGGTTCCGATGGCAGTTGGAAAAGAGTCTCGCTCATCCTGCTTTCTTGGTGAAAAAGCTTCACGTATGATCTTTTTGCCTTGGGAAAATGGAGATTTGGGTGACGAAACATCCATCTTTAACCGAGGTGGAGGCTTCAATGGCTTGATTTTCCCTCCATCGAAGAGTTCTTCAGCTGAACGAGATGTGTTCTCCAAGTTCACACTAAAATCAAATGCAAAATCATCCCCTTCATCGACCTTTAAACGACTGTATCTCATGCTGCTTTCCATATTGTATCGATCGAATTCGCGGTAAAACTCGAACAACCGTGCAGGACTCGTCGGGGCACTAAAGACACAATCGCCCATTCGTCGAGGCGTTGAAGGAGCAGTCGACACAGGAGATGACCGAGCACTGTTGAAATCAAAATCCATAACCGGAGCAGGGTTTCAAATCGCGGTCGCGGTCGCGTTTTCGGTTATTTCGGATTTACCGTGATTGCGACCGTCGCGGACGCTATTGCGGTCGTCGCGGGTAACTCGGACAGTGGTGAAACCGCTATATCACAGTCGCGGACCGCTTTTTAAAGAACTTGGTAGCACCACCTCCATGTTTTACTTCACGATGATTGTGTAGCTGATTGAAGGGCTTTAAAAAAGCTGAGAACGATGAAGAAAAGAGACAGAGAGGCAGCCGGGGCAACAGAACAATGGGAGGTAGAGTTTATTGACCAAAGCAGCCGACTTTTAATACCAAGCGAATTTCATGTGATTCCTCAATCACATGGGGGGGGGGAGTTTGTTTATATGTGTTTTTTGTTTCTTAGGTGAAGTGGATGGTTTATATAGGTCATGGTGACCCACTATTGTCTGAATGTCATTATTTGTGAGTTCGAGGGAGTGTGAACAAGATTCAGCTATACAACAAGATTTGGAGGCCAATAAATTGTTTATCTAGTCCAGATTGAATTGGTAAATAATATAATTTTTTCCTTCCTGAATTATAATATTTATACGTAACAACAAACATGAGCTACAAAATTATCAATTGACTAATTCATGAAGTTCTAGATGGTTAGACTTTGTGGGCAAAATACTTGATTTCTGTAACATATATGACTTGAGGGATAGGCCTTTACCTACTTTTGCAGTCCTCCCCAAAGCTAACAGACAAGCCCAATGTTGGTCTCGAACACCCATCAAGCCTCAACTTGCGCCTTCTTGTTTGATTTCACTACAAAAATTACATTCTTCTTTATTTTAGTTATTCTATTTGAATGGCTAAAGAATCGTTTTCTTCATGAAATAGTGACACCTTTTCAATTAATGCTCTGCCGTCTAGAATATATAACAAGTGTTTAGAAATTAAACAACAAAATACATGCTGAATTGAAAGAGGAATATCACATCAATTCAGTCAGCCAAATCAAATTCAGGCCACGTTAAGGGCTTTCTCTCGAGCCAGCCAACTCAAGAAAAATACTCAAAAATCCGTCTCATGATAATAGAAATATTGTTTTTCAGAAAATTAGGGCACAAATAATTATATTTATAAGGTATATATGGGTAAACTTTTTGTTGTAGACTCCCATTGTGAAGGTCATTCTAAAGAAAATGTTTTACAAGCATTCTACAACATCCTCACAAACCTTACGCGGACTATAGTCTCTCGTCTGAAGGGCTAATAATTTCTGCTTTTAGATAATCTCCTTCAGATTTCTTCCGTAAGTCGATCATGTGTTTTTACTCTTTCGCCAATCGAAGTTTTCGGATTGTCGCGACGAATTTTTTTGAAATGTGAAAATCGGAAAAAAAAATTAAATTTTAGAAAATATTTGAAAAGTTTAGAGTCGCCATCAATCTTTGGGATTAGGTAGGTTGAAAACCCATGATATGTAACATCCCAAATTAGGGTCAGTGACTAAATTGTAAATTTTAAAAACTATGTGCTCGATTTCGAAATAAGGTAAAAGTTCATGGATTTAATTGAAGAAATTTGATGTTGGATTTAATGGTAAAGTTTGGAAATAACAAGGGTATTATGGTCTTTTCTAAGAGAAGATTTTTATTCTTTTGTTTAAGGGATATAAAAACGTGGGAAAGGAGATAATTTCTCCAGACTATTCTTCAGTCTTCTTCTTCCTCCTCTCCACCGTGAAGCCTTGTATAAGGTAAGTGGGTCTTCAGTTGGTTAACTCTTTCGTTTTAAAGCTTGTTTTGATTCTTGGGATGTTAAGAAAGATTAAGGAAAGCTTTAGGTGGATTAAAACACAAAGATTAGCAAGTTATGAGAAATTAAGAAAAATGAGTTTTTAAGTGAATTTTTGAAATAGAAGGAGTTAATAGATTTTGAAGTTTAATTTGACTTGTCAAGGGTTAAATTAAGAGATATGAAGTGATAGAATGAGCTTTAGAACATGTTGGAAATTTAGTGTTATTTTTTAATGCCATGTAAATGATAGAATTTTGAGTTTAAAGAAGTGATTATGGAGTATAAATGAGTTTAAGTATGTGTATGAAAGTTAGGAATATTAAAGGGAGTGAAGTATGAAGTGTTGAGCTGAAAATGAAGTGATTTTCGAGCTAAAAATATGATTTATGGGCAAGTGGAATCGGTACCCATTCAAGGGGAACCGATACCCCTTCAAACGAACAAAAATTTCCAGAATGACATGAGGGAATCGATACCCCCATAGTAGGGAACCGATTCCCCCTAAAGGAAAATTGTAAATATTGGTTTAATAAGTTCGTTTAAGTTGCTAGTATCAAATTACAAGGTGTAGGTATCTAATAATTGTCTTAAAATGTATAATTATGTAGATTCAGAGCCTAAACGAGTTCCGGAATCATTGACAAGTAAGATCGATAAAAAGGGAAGATAAGAGATTGGAATGGACTAGTGAGGCCAGGTGAGTGCATATTAGTATTATATGATGTTAAATGGAAATAAGACTTGCGACAAGTTTATTTTCCATAGTAAAATGCATGAATTCATAAAATAGAAGTATATATGTGTATGATTTATATGTGTTGACATGTTATTGTATATATGTATCATATGGTTGATGTGAATATGTGATATGTTATGATGATATAAACCATATGATATGATAATAAATTATATGAATATAAAAGATAAGTTATGTGATAAGATCTTTGATATATATACATATATATAAATGAAATATTACTACGTGAATACATGTTATGAGATAATTTAAGTAATAATATGAGAATATGGTAAAAGTTAGTTTATGAGAAAGGATATGAACTAAGTAAGTAAAGGCTACATAAATAATATATTAACTAGGAGACTTGAACTTCAGTGATACTATGAGCATATAATATAAGATAGAGAAGAAAGATTCATATGCTTAAATAAAATTATGATACATTAGTTGTATAATAGAAGCTATGGAGTGATATGAAATGATTATTATAGGAGTTGTACGGAATTGAATTAAGTAAATAGATTAAATTGTATATAAAAGAAATAATAGAAGTAATATATTCAGGTTTATAAGTATAATGCATGTTATGTAATGCAAGTGCATACCAAGAAATACATAATAAGGTAGATGATATGATGTAAATTATATTATGAATTAGTGATGTAGGAATGAGATATAAATATGCAATAAAACTTATGTGTTATATGATAAATATGAACATATGAGAATAAGAGATTAGATAAGTGACTTGGTGATAGAAGCTATATGACCAAGGATTAGGTAAATATGAATAATTTAAGTGATATGTAACTATGATTATTTGAGTATGTATCTATGTGAGTTGATTCATGAGGTTATATGAAATATTACTATATGACTATGTGAGTATATGAAAAAGAATATAGGTACATGCAAGTTAGATCGAAAGGAGTTGTGTAACCATGCCTAATATGTATTACATGTATGGGAATATAAGAGAATAAAACATAAACTATATGAAAATATATGATTCATGTGATGTGAACCATGTGAACATATGAGAAAGTGTATAAGTTATATGTATTACATGATATATGTGATTTTACAAGAAATGACATGAGCTATGTGATTACATGATTATAAGAGATCAGACATGTGATAAAAGATAATTAATATGCATGTGTGAATATGAAATGATATAAATGACAATGCCCATGTTGTGTGTCATGAGAGCTAGGGGTATAGTTGGCATGCCAAGAGTCGAGGGTCTACGCGGTCCTTCGGGATATATATATTCTTTGGAACATGTGTGAAGTCTTGTGAGACACATACTTGATCCCTAGTATATGTATATGATTCTTAAGGAATGATATGTGGTCCTTATGGACATTATTATATGGCACTACGGTGTAATTCTACGCGGCATTACGGTGCAATTCTACACGGCACTATGGTGCAATTCTACGTGGCACTTTGGTGCATTTATATGAGCTGTGGTGATAGCATTAGTGCACAACCTCCATAGAGTCATAAATCTATAGTTCTCACATATGTACATGGGCTAATCAAGAGATATAAACAATTATATGTTAGTGATATGATAAATGTTATAGAAATGATATGATGTTGTGTGTGTATAGTGTTTGATTGAAAAGGTTAAGCATAAAAGTATGTGATTACATGATAAACTGCTAATGATGATTTATGTGTATGTATGTATTTATTGTAATTAATCGGATATGCTTTTACATGATATGAGGAAATCATGTAATGTGGTATAGCATGATAGAACAGAACATGTGTGTATTGATATATGTTATAAAGTGCATTATAAGTTTTTATGCCTCACTAAGTCATAGACTTAGCGTGTGATTGTTTCACACGTAGGTTACAGAAGCTAGAAGAGAAGCGAAGAAGAGTAAGACAGGTCAGCACCTCCCTTACAAAATTTCAGATCAGAAAATAGAGAATTTAAATGTTTTTGGTTATTTTGAGTATAGTTGGCATATACTAATTGGTTGAATTAGTTATGCTCTGATTGATTTTGGGTATTGTGGTCAATTTATGTAACTAAACCGCTTTTACTTTAATGAAATATTTAAATTTTCTTTGAATTTTGTCAAGAGTCAAAGTTTGAAAAGTCAATGTGACACCTCAGACTTGTATCCGGGTCGGGTACGGGTTGGGGTGTTACATTTAATGGTATTAGAGCTAAGGTTTAGCCGATTTTCGGCATAAATCGAAGTCCAAAGTGTCATAAAATGTGTACATGCCAACATAAGGTGAAAAATTTTGATCTGATAGTGTAAGGAGTGTGTTGTCTTGCTAATAGAATTAGATTATTAAGTTATAATAGAAGTATGATTATAGTAATTTCGAAGTGAAGTAAGAGGCGATATTCCTGATTGTGATAGCAATTCACCTACCCTGGCCAGGCAGGGGGAAGAGCGGACACCTCAGGAAGTGCTTCATAAGATCAAAGACTGATTTCAGAAAGTTGAAATCATATTAGAATAGTGATAGAAAGTTTTCACATGTTTGAATCGGAAAAGTGATATG